AACAATAGCTACAGATGTAATAAAATCTGGAAGGGTTTCAACAAAGAGAACAATGTACTTCGCATTAACAAAACGTGGCATTCTCACATTATTGTCGCATCAACTATCGCTATTGGACTTGGTGTTGAGAGAACCATCAAACAATCAACATGGACACTGATGCTAATAGCCCATGACATTTCCTGCGGAATGTGTCACGTCCCGACAAGAAATATGACGGGGACAAACAGGTAAAAAGCGAACTTATGGGATGGTTATTGAGTGTGCACTCGATCAGAATTTTTCAAATCGAAAGTAGAGTCCCGACACTTTGAAAATTCCCAATCTATTGGAAGCTTCTCTCTGTCAGACTTCAGATGCAGCATTTACAAAGGTGGCAAGGTGCAGGACAGCCGAAAGAGCAGTCCTGATACAAATCCCATACGTACATTATTTTTGCTTGCGCCGTTCGAGTTTCCACGTTTTTACGCGCTTATGCCTCGGCCATCATATGGCAAGTACACGTTACATCAGGTAAGATAGATGGCTTAAAATTAGTATTAAAAGGTTTCTAATGGAAAACTCTGCGTCCCAAAAAGCCTCATTTAGCAGAATACGCAAATGAGTCCCGTAAACGTATTTTCAAAATCACACCCCAAACTCCTAACGCATACAAAGTGTTCCATAAACCCAGTACATTTACTTTCAGCGAAAGTATCCGCATCTGAAAAAATAGTATTAGTTGAATGTAATAGAATGGCATGGTTTACTTGATTGCTTTCACAACTGTAGGATACATCAAGAGGCATAAGGTGGACCCTCTTCTCCACGCTCAAGGATTTTGATTTTGCCGACAACCTTGCACTACTCTCTCACACCAACCAGCACATATAGGTAAAAACAAACCGACTCCACAAATACGGACGCCAGATTGGAGTAAGAATAAGCCAGAAATGATGACACTGAATGTAAGCTCCCCAACGCTGATTAGGGTGAACAACGCAAACCTGCCTATAACTGACAAATTTACCTATCAAGGCAGCATAACTAAAACTGACGGCGGCACAAAGGAGGACATCATGAACAGACTTGGCAAGGCAAGATCTGTACACAGAAGCATGATCAACATCTGGAAGTCAGGACAGTTCAATATACAGACCAAGTTAAAGCTGTATAACAGCTGTGTACTATCCACACTCATGTATGGATCTGAAAGCTGGAGGATGACTGATCATGATCGTGCCAAGCTATCTTCTCTTCATACAACCAGCTTACGCCAGATCCTCCGAATCTTCTGGCCTGACAAGATTTCCAACGCAGATCTTTTACGGAAATGTAAGCAAGAGGACATGACAACCATAATAACAAAGAGAAGATGGAGATGGATTGGGCATGTTCTGAGAAGAGAAGCAGACTCTTTTGTAAAGATTACCCTTCACTGGACACCCGAAGGACATCGCAAGAGGGGCAGACCCAAAGTGACCTGGAGACGCACAGTAGAGTCTAAGATGAAGTCTTAGTCCTGGAACCATTCGTGGGGGGACGATGACCAAGATGGTCCAAAACAGAGAGCTAGAGATCCTTTGTCGCTGCCCTAAACGCCAGACGGCGTGACGGGTAGTAAGTAAGTAAGTTTCACAACACTGGGAAGTCCACAGTAGCTGGCTTTAAAATTTGAGTAGTACCCGCCTCCGACAGACAGCAGACGAACCAAATCTAGTTGAGGAATCAAATTCAAAACAGCCCCAAAAACAGAAAGGAAACCGAATAAATTTCCCACCAGAAGGTAACATCTGCTCCAAGTAAATACATCATATAACTACTACACATGTCTTAATACGTGTAATTGTTTTTTCAGAAGTTAAAATATCGACATTTTTTTGTTGCAATCAGGCCTTCCTCTGCCCATCGCTGCTGTTTCATTAGTTGATACACTTGAGTTACATAACACTCGGAATGAGGTTCGAATCCGAACGTTCTTTTCTAGACTGTAAGTTTTCCTCTCAGTCCGATGTTCTCACGAGGCACAAGTTGCTCCACCTCCAACATGCACAAGTTAATGTGTTCTGTCCGGCGCTAAACCTTCATCATAAAATAAAAGGGTACTGCCCCCCCCTCACACACACACTCTCTCTCTCTCTCTCTCTCTCTCTCTCTCCTTCTCCCTCCCTCTCCAATCTCTTTCTCTCTAGCTCACTCGCTTGCATACACACACACACACACACACACACACACACACACACACACACACACACACACACACACACACACACACACACACACACACAAAAACCACACTTAACTTAACCTCCATCTTTCTCTCTCCCAACCCCTGCTCTTCGTCCCTTCTTTTCATCCCCCTCCCCAAACTCTCTCTCTCTCTCTCTCTCTCTCTCTCTCTCTCTCTCTCTCTCGCTCACACACACACACACACACACACACATACACACACACAAACACGTTCACTGCAGAGCTATGAGTACAAAAGCAACAGTTAACTGAGTCCCCACAAAACACAATAGAAATGTGCTTTCATGAGTTTAACGTCAACTTACAGTCAAACCTCATTATACCGCCCCCACCGCCACCCCATTAAACCGCCAGCCCCGCTTACCGCCAGGTTTTACCAGTGTACGAAAAGGAACGCCTTTATATTATTAATATAGTAGGCTATTTACGCCCACACACATCCGCCAAGTGTCTGAGTTGTTGGGTCCTTATTAAACTAACGTAAATTTACCCTGCTATATTGCCAGCCAAGTGGCCGGCAGAGGTACAATCTACACACGGGTAACAGCGTCCACTCGTTGGCTGCTTGATAACGTCTCTCCCATGACACTGCAGTCCGCAGGTAAAATATCTGATGTTGACAGATATCAGCCCGATGTCGTAAAGGCTGGTGGGGGTTCACCAGGAGACTGACAGGCATTGGGTAAAAAAAATATATATATATTGTAGGCATACGTCTGCACAGACCTTTACAAACGTAATCTAGCTTCTGATCCGCAGAATCTTTAAATTTGAATTTACCTTTATTAAGTTCAGAGGGGTTTGTTTTTGTTTTAGTAGAGGTTTTTCGGCACTCGCAACTGTATAAGGTCATATGAGCGCCAGAAGATTAGAGGTGTTACAAGAGAGTAACAAACATAAAAAAGGAGGGGGAGATAAGGACGATAGATGTTTGATACGAAAATAGCCAAGAAGAAGCAAACCACACCAGAGCATCCATCAACTACCCACTCAGATGAGTTTGTATTTGCGCGTGGATGCACACACGACACACAAACACACACACATACACATACAAAACACACACAAACAAACAAGCACAAATAGGAAGAGTGAGAGTGAGAGAGAGAGAGAGAGAGAGAGAGAGAGAGGAGGGGGGAGGGAGGGAGGGAGCCTCTCAGCTCTAAATAAATTTACATGTAAATCAACCAACAAAAAACACTTTTTAAACGTAAAATAATCACACAGCAAAATCACTTCCCTGGACTAATGAACAAAGGTATCCCGTTAACCGCTAGCCCTGCTTTTCCGCTAATTTCATGCTCGTCCAAAGGGTGGCGGTACAACGAGGTTTGACTACACTTCATTACATACATAACAGAGGTGGACTTAAAGAAATATGGTACGTTGTAAATGTAAAGTTTTTAATTGTTTGTTCTGTTTGTCAATTATATAAGTAAACAAGGCATAGACAATAATGGACATTGTTCTCCATCAGAACATAGAGAACGTCAAATTGTGAGCATGACAATAGAAGGTTATGCTATTATTATTTATAATAATAATAATAACAACAACAGTAATAATATTATATAATAAATAGCATTTGTATTTTCGTAAATTCTGCTCAACAGCACGCAAGCTCTATATGTTTTATAATCTATTTTATTAACCCTATCCGTACGCCGTGTTTTACTATCATATCCATACAAAGTCGGGAACTCTATGCCCTCACTTTCAAAAGAGGAAATTTACTCGTTAATCCAATCATAGCAGTCTGTCCAAATGATTTTTTGAGAAATACTGAAAGTTTCAAAGAAATCTTTGCACTAGAAGTAGCCTATATGTATTCTAAAATAGAAAGAATACAACCTCTGGGGTACAAAATGACTCCAGGCTTACGGATAGGGTTAATATCAATAGAAAGAAAAATTGCATTTATATTGCATCCATTCTCTGCAGTATGCTCTATGCGCTTTACAACTATTACAATCTTATTATCAATGACATAAGTTTCCCAGTTTGAAAATCTGGGGAAACAGGCAGGAAAAGGGTAGGAATGTATCCTCAAGCACAGTAAGAAAACAATTCAACAAGGATTTTGGTATAAAAAGAGCCATTATAAACGAAACAGGAGGAACAGACTACATTAGTGCATCCACCAACCACCATAATGGTTTTTTGTAACGATATTAAACAATCATTGGAAAGCCAGTTGAGGTAGTGAGTTCAATGGTATGGGAAAATATGATTCAAGTATGGTTGTCAGTATTTTTTTATTATTATTATTTTGTAGAGGTTTTATGACACTCGCAACTGCATAAGGTCATATGAGCACCAAGGGGTGGATGTCAACAGAGAAGTCTTTACAGGGAAACAGGCTTACTCTGCTCACCTCTCTAGCTTCAACAGCACAAAGTCTGTTTCGACTTTCAAGGCACCCCGTAAATAGCGGGTCACAAGAGTGTGACAAACATACAAAAGAAGTACAGGAAAAAATGGCAATAGTAAGGATTAGGAAAGAAAAAGCAGCAGTTCCCTGTAGTAGATCAGGCACAGTTATGAACATGACATTGATGAATCAGCCCATGTACAAATCTACTGTGCATGAACGAAAAATGTACCCTCTTTGGGAATGGCCTACAGAAACTTCAGTCAGTGGTACTGCCCCGGGGGGGTATGTCAGTATTTTGCGAGTGCCTATGAGTATGTAAGTGTGTGTAATATATGTGTGTGTGTGCATAGGTGTGTGTGTGTGTGTGTGTGTGTGTGCATGCGTGTGTGAGGGGGAGAGAGAAGAAAGAAAGAGAGAGAGAGAGAGAGAGAGAGAGAGATTGAGTAAGTGAGTGAGTGTGTGTGTGTGTATGAGGGAATGTATGTATTTGTAAACATGTAGGTTACTTATGCTTTCCAACACTGTAACTGTAAGAGTGCGTATGCATGAGTGTCAGTGCGAAGTAGTAAACCACGAGTCAGCAAGATATCAAAAACACATCTCCAGGAACAGATTAGAAGAAAAGAAATGTAGAAAAGCAATTAATGATAGAACAATATTAACACTTCAACGTCATTGACATGTGTACATATTAACCCTTCAACATAATTTACAACATTTTCAACACATAAACATATTTACTCTTCAACCTCACTGACATTTTGACATCATTAACATTCTGGCATCATTAAAACTTCAAAATAATGCACCGTTTGACATTATTCAAATCACTTCATCAACACCATTAAAACACTTCAAAGTTCAACACCAAACACTTTAACATCTGTATCTCTTTGACATCATTAACCAGTCAATGCCTTCCTATGAACAATCTCTGGTCCAAACTCCTGATACTCCTGCCTGGTGACCCATAGTGGAGTGAATGTGGAGAGACTGGCTAAGATAGACCCACCCAGCCACACGTGGTACTTCCGCTCGGGGGAATATCTCACTTTCACTTTCTGACCCACGTGAGGAGCCAACTGGGCAACATCCTGCTGCAGTCGCATTCCAAACCCGTCCATTAAAGTGGTGCCCCCCGCCAGGACAATGTCTTTGTACAGTTGTCCACGGACGTCCATACTGCAGTTGTTGATGGATTCCTGCACCATCTGGCCTAAACCTTTCCCCGTGTTCACAACGCCATCAGGACGAAACAATATTTCTGGTACGAGATGACGCTCAGAAGATAGTTGGATAGATGTGCCATCAGGCAATCTGTAGGATTGTTCTGTCCCTCCGACAACCTTCGACTGTGGACTGGAGGAAACTGTTTTGTCGTTGGCCACGAAACATGTAGCTTCCTTCATCTCTCGGACTACGTCTAGCTCAGAACTCGTTGTGAAGCTATGACCTGCTTTGTGTAGTTGTCGTTGGAGAGCCAGAGTGAGGTCACGACCTCCGAGGTCCTGTCGGGTTACAACGGCTGGTGTGTAACCGTCATAGATTGGAACAACGTAGGAGATCCCATCACCAACATTAACGATCGTGGCAGTGACCCTCCCGGCAGACAGCACGACCAGAAGGGGCTCAAAGACACAGTAAAACGCTGGGGTCTGATACGTCTCAAACATCACCTAGTAAGGAAGGAAACAAGGAAAAAAATAAAAACAATTACAATACATATAAATAAGTACAGAGAACAGAAAACAAAAGAAAAGCTGCTAAAAGTAAAGTACAGTGGAAACCTGATATAACAGGGATGGTGGGACCAGAGAAAAGGTCCTGTTATATCAGATCCCGGTTAAATCAGAAATGCAAGGGAAGTAAGCATTTGTGGACTTATCCAGCTGTATTTATTCATGGGTAGTTTCCCTTGCCACAAGTACCAATGAACAGCACACTGCAGCCCTCTCTCGCTTCACCCACTGCGTGTGCTTGCAGTGGCGTGGCTTGCAGCAGCGTGGCTTGCGTGGGCTTGCTCCATCACTGCGTTACTCTCTCTCTCTCTATCTCTTTCTTTTTACACATTGTTAACGAGCCTTTGTTCCTGCTATAACCTATTGGGCTCCGATGAGGTCCTCTTATTGCCGACAACTTTTTTAATAGAGACAAAGAGAAGGAAAAAACAGGGATTTTAAAAATCCCTGATATTGCCGGATCCCTGTTATTACCGGGCCTGTTATATGGTTTCCACAGTATAGAAACATAGAAACATCTCAATAACAACAAAAGTCAAGGTTTTAAAAGGTTAAGTGTCATCAATTCTCTGAAAGCAGACTTGCTATAGATATAAAAAATATTACTAAATGCAAACCAAAATGTGGTTGAGAATTTCATGGACGACATATAAATTAAATGAGGTAGTGCTGATAGAAGCCAAAATGGGACTGTCATTCAATGTTACAAACAATTAAGAAGAGACAAATGCCATTCCTTAGACTTAGATACTTGAAGTGACAAAAATGCTTTGGACATATTGCTCTCATTGGAAAAACAGAAGGTAAAAGAGGCAGAGGTTGACCAAGAATAATTTACCTAGAGAATGTGAAAATATGAGTGATGAGAAAAGACCAAGACAATATAGAGGTACCATGTACCATGTATTTAAGAGATATCTGAACAGAGCTAGAAATAAATGAGGAATCATAATCGCTCATGTCTGTTACAGATCAGGCACTTGAAGAAGGAGGAGAGGAGGAAAAGGAAGAGGAGCAGGAGGGAAGAGAAGGAGCAGGAGGAGGAGGGAGAGAAGGAGGTGGAGGACGGGGAGGAGGAGGAGGAGGTGGAGGACGGGGAGGAGGAGGAGGAGGGGGAAGAGGAGGAGGAGCAGGAGGTGTGTACTGAAATTTTCCCCACATTGCAATACACTTTATAATGTGATGCGAGACAATAAAGTGATAATGACATATTGTATCTTCTGTAAAAAGAAACATTATACTTCAACATTTTTTAATAATTACTTTCAACTTTTCTTTTAGTAAGAGTATGTAGAAAAGCTACTTCTACTTCAAAAAGTAAACCTTTTAGTATTTAACCACATATTTTTTTGCAAGTAGCTATATTGGGCCCAGGTCTAACTTATGGCTTGAGTATTTCATCATACTCATCAAATTTTTTATTTCCTATTTTAGCTCTTTAGAAAAGAGTATTTCTTGAGCAAATGACGAAATTTACTATATCACAAAAGTCTCATACCTTGGCCATTAAACTTGTTTTATTTGACATTTAACTGAGTACCGGTAGAGAAAAGCATATCGAAATAACTATACTGATCATTTAGTGTAGTGAAATAAGAGTGTAAAACAGAGATAGAAACAACAGACCGAAAGAAAAAATGTTGGGCATGGCTACCAGTGGCGCAATCCAACCATCCATACAGATAGAAACAGCACAGGGAGAGTAAAAGACTTAAGATCTATCACAATCTTCCCCTCCAAATACCTGTCTACTTCTTTTTTTTGTTGGATATTTCTTTCCAGCACTTGAGGGCTCTTATTGTGCTGATGTGCTTCTCTTTACTCCAATAGACACAATCTTTACTGAAACAAACACAACCGACAAAGCCTACCTGCGCCATCTTTTGTCGATTTCCCTTCGGGTTTAGCGGTGCTTCTGTCGTCAGAATGGGATGTTGCTCAGGAGATGCTTGGAGGTCCCCGAAAAATGCAAAGTTCCAAATTTTCTCCATGTCCTCCCAGTCCGTGACGATGCCATGCTCTATGGGGTATCGAAGACTAAGCAGCTCTCGTCTGTCCTGAGCTTCATAACCTATGTATGAGCTACCATCTCCTAGAAAGATGATATAAAAATATACACACTTGTATAAAATACAGGTAGAGGATACAATTTTCTATTTAATCATATATAACTGTATTTAGTTAGTTTAGTTTTAGTGGAGGTTTTACGGCGCTCACAACAGCATAAGGTCATATGAGCGCCAGAAGATTAGAGGAGTTACAAGAGAGTAACGAACATAAAAAAGAAGAAGGGAAGATAAGGACAATAGATGTTTGATAGGAAAGAAGAAGCAAACCACACTAGAGCACCCGCCAACCACCTACTATGACTGTATATATAAATATTTAGATCTATGGTTTTGGGGCACAAATAGGTTAACTGGAAAATTTTCTTAAATAAAAAACTTTTGACAGTGTTGTAAGAAAGGTTAAATACATAATGTACTGTAAATCTCAGTGAATGTGGTGTAAACATTTAACCCAGTTTTAAGACTTGAGGGTACTGTACCCAGTACTTTATTATTACACAATCTTTCTCTCTAATGGTACATCATGGAATACATCAACTGTCCTCATTAACTTCAATGTTTAGCCCATATAATATGATATAAAGGCCTATGTGAGTCATCGTAGTGAAATCAGGCACTCGTCAAAACAAACAATTCAAAGAAACCAGCATTTTTCTGCCACTTGGGCAATTTTCTTTTTAATTTTCTTTTTTGGCTCACTTTTACATACATTAATATTATTCATAAACACATTTCTACATGGATTTTACTGAAAATTGTTGATAAAAGGCACAAAAAATGAAAATATTTGCACTTTTTAAGGACTCTCAAGCTTTTGAAGTCACTAAACGTTGGTGACCATTTTTTCACTTGTTTTACATTACATTAGACACCGGGCAACACCCCCAGCTCCTTCAATTTCAAATATCTTGATGATGATAGATCAGATCCATGGGTATTTATTTTATCAAAAGCAAGACAAATTTGAACATTGTGTAACCCTTTGAGCCTCGGGTTGGGGATGGGGTATGCCTCACTCACTGCGGTACCAATGGCTAGGGATACAGGCAGTTTTACGCACTACCAGTGTAATGGCTCAATTAGGGTTGAGATGATAATAAACCCACGTGCCCAAAAATTGACGAGCGCCTGATTCTACCATGTCATGACACATATTTCACACTGCCTGTCAAGGTACAAGTACACATGAAATGAATTTCAATGAAAAGAGCCATTGACAAAGAAGAAGTGTGACAGGAAACACTAGCAAAAATCAAACCAAAGTCACCACTGTCAATTAGTAGGCCTACTCTCTCTTATAAAATTAATACACTAACAAGACTTGTATCCTCCTAGCCTAAAGTCCTATAGAATTTTATAATCATGTGCCTTAGTTCTGGGTCAAAGATTTGGTAATCGGTCACTTCGTCACACGGTCATCTTGTCACACCCCAATTAAGTGTGACAAAATGACTACTCTTATCTCTCTCGAAAATTGTTATATATACTAGCCCTAGAAGCACAGCATTTCCCCGGAAGTAACACGCCCCAAATGCTTGTTTATTCTAGTAGTAAGGTTTTATCAAAGACTCCCTACTACCAAGATATTCCACTTCCTCTTTGGGCTTTTGTCCGCGCCCTGGCGGGCTGCCTTTGCCGCATAGCGCGTGATGGGCTACGTCACTAGGCGACATGAGGTTGGTTTCATCATCAACTGCTTGGGGTGAGTGTGTGTGTTTGTGTGTGTGTGTGAGTGTGTGTGCGTGTGTGTGAGTGTGTGTGTGTGTGTGTGTGTGTGTGTGTGTGTGTGTGTGTGTGTGTGTGTGTGTGTGTGTGTGTGTGTGTGTGTGTGTGTGAGTATGTATGTGGGTGTGTGTGTATGTGTGTGTGTGTGTGTGTGTATGTGTATGTGAGTGTGTGCGTGCGCGTGAGTGTGTACAACTTTGTTTGGGGAGGAGAAGAGGAAGAATGGTATAGGCTAAATCTATGGACCGAGAATTGCTGAGATTGTTTAATTAAAGATAACAAAAATTAACACACACAAATAAAAACAAAAAGAATGAAAAGAAAAAGTGGGTGAGAAAGAAAAAATGAAAACTGAAAATAAACAATCGAAAACGAGGAAAAGTAATGGTTTTAAGCGGCAAGATGTTCACCAATCGAACTCAAGTAGATCTAGTTTGCTGTCCAGTCATTTCATATCGAAATGATGGTTATAGTGTCGTAGTTAGTCTAGCTCGATATCCCTGGTCGAAATCATATTAATTACAGAATTACCAGACAAATAATGACTTTACGTGCTATGAGAGTAAATTTCTCTGTCCAACTTAAGAGAGATATTTCTGCCATGAAGGCCTATCTACAATGTGGGGCAGGAGGTTGATTTTTTAATTAATTTTTTTTTCAGGGGGGGGGGGGGAGAGGGCGTATGTAGATCTAGTATGCAATGGAAGGAGTCGCTCCCCGTCCATCCGCCCGCTCGAATGCATGGTGTCTCTCTGTCCGCCTGTCTGCTCGCTGAACGAACTGTTGTCTCTGTCTGAAGTGTAGCGAGTAGCGAACTACTCTTCACAAGCGGACGGTTCGCTACCCGTCCGCTCATTTGCGGGTAGTGCCAGCGAGTAGTTCGGTACTCGCGGACGCTAATTTTGCGAGCCCGACCCAACCCTAGTGTACAATAAGGACTGTATTATACAGTGTATAGCACCGGGTCAGCCTAAAAACCGAGGCAGAAAGAAAATGACAAGAAAAAAATTATTCTTACATTAATAACACCTCTCTCTCTATTGTTTCTCCCTCTCTCTTGCTCTCTCTCCATCTTTCCCTCCCCCCCCCCCCCCTTCTCTCTTTCCCTCCCTCTCTTTTTCTCCCCCGTCTTCTCTCTCTCTCCCTCTTTCTCCACCCCCCCCCCCTTCTCTCTCGCTCTCTCTCTCCCTTCCCCCCTCCCCCTCTCTCTCTCTCTCACTGCCCGCAGACAAAATTGCACACGGTCAACTCAAGAGCGATGGAAGGCTTGTTTACGCTCATACGGGCCGTCACGCACCAGCACAAGGGCACGCCCACTTGCCAAGTCTCGCGCGGATGCGAGATCTAGATCTATAGGGCAATCGAAACATCTTGGTATACATGGTCTTTGGTTTTATGGCGCTCACAACTGCATAGGGTCATGAGCACCAAGGGGTGGATGTCAACAGAGTTTACAGAGAAGTCTAAATGGGGAATCAGGCTTACTCTGCTCACTTTTATTTTTTTATACATTTCATCAACTTCAGTCTCACCTGTTTTTCTACGACCTATAATATTAGGAAAAACACAGGCAGGTGCATCGTCTCCACAAAACCCGACTCGACATGAAGCTGATCCATTTTCTAAGACTATAGCTGGATATTCGTCACTCGGCAAGTAGCAGTTCATTGTGAGTTTTCACGGGGCACCTCCTTCCTCATCTTCAATCTTCACGACAGTTGGGCAATGTATTTAAATTGTGTCGTTGAGTTTTGTTATGATTGTAGTTTTGTAAGTTTACAGAGCTTTGCAAATATCGAATGCTAAATTTGCTGAATCAAATATTTATCAAACTCGGTTACAGGACTCGGCTGTTATTTTCACGATAGGCCAAAATACAGTCAAACCTCATTATACATCCCCCCCCCCCCCCCCCAGGTTTTTAGCTAATGTATAAATGTACGAATAGCTTTGCGAGTAGGAACCAAAGAGTCTACATACTATCTGTGTAGGAAAAAGCTCTTTATATATAAACATTCCCCTTTAGGCCTACACCGCCATTCGCCACACCCCAACTATTTTTGTTGTTGTTTTAGTAAGAGTTTTACGGCACTTGCAACACATTATGGTCATATAAGTGCCGAAGAAGAATAGATGTGTTATGAGAGAGCAACATACAAAAAAAAAGGAGAAAAGGACGGTAGGTATTTGATAGGAATGAGCAAACCACACCACAGCACCCGCCATCCACCAATACCCTAACTGTTTTATGCGTAGGCCGGCCTACAGTTCTTATCAAACTAATGTAAATTTGCTCCGCTACACCGCCAGTGAATTAGCTGCCAGTCAGAGGTACACACTACACAAGGTGCACAGTATCCACTCGTTGACCGCTTGATATTCTATTAATCATATATTTCCCACACTCGTCTCTGCGGGTTCAATGATCGATGTATGTTCTTAATTTGTGCTGATTATGAAAATGCTATCAATTTTAGGTTTTGGTTAATATATTATATATAGACCTATTATAAAATATAATATAATTGGAATGAAATGTTAAAGTCGCCTGACGAAACTTCAGAGAGGAACTTCGCCTCCTCGGCCTGTTGGCAAAATATCTGGCGTAGCCCGTGATGCTTTAATTAATAATGTGAGGGCTTATACAATGTATAACTTCCAAGTCTATGTGAAAGGTCTGAGGCGGCTCGGGGACTGACGAGTATCGGGTAAAAAAAATAATGTAAGTCTACGGGGTCCATGCCACATATTGCCTAGCTTCTGACCCGGCATAAATTCTCAGTTCGAATTTCCCATGGTTCAAGCCACCAATTTTGCTAGTCTATTTAATTTTTTTTTTTTTTTTACTTCAGCACCAACCAATGACCCACCAATAAGAAGAAGAAGAAATGGAAATAAATGACGACAGAAACTGTACACCAGTACATGTAGTGCATTGCACAAATGGGTATCTGAGGCAGGGGCGAAGGCTGACTTGTTTGACAGGGTAATCAAAGTGAAATGGGACCAGATAGGGCTTGGAGATATCACACTCACACAAGTCACAAGAATCTTACAGGCACTGGAGGCGGCAACTCTGAGTTGTGAATGAAAACAAATCCTGAATTAATGTTGTATGCTTGTTCAACCGCTAAAATAATCGGGAAAGTATTTCATTAAATATTTATTCTAACTAACCTTAAATTTAACTTTAGATTTTAACACACGAACACCAAGGAAAGAAGCACAGATGTCAGCACTACAATGGCATGTTATATAAGACAGCCGAAACACTTTGGTAGAGCACGCCAATTATTAATTTTTTATTTCACATTTGGCTGTTTTTTGTCTAGCTTTTCGCGGCCAGGAGCCGCTGTCATAATCGAGGTCACGATCTGATTATTATAGGACGTTAAAAAGTCGAGGGAAAAAACAAGCACCAGCAGTGTAGTAGCAGGAGTCAAAGGATTATTAGGAGTTAGTTCCCCTCACATCTGTGAGGTAGACTCGACCAGTGTAATAGTTCGCTTAGATAATCAGCGCGTCTGGGTGCTTATAACTGTGGCCCGAAAGGGGTGAACAGGGTATATGCGACAATGAAACAGCTCTGACTGCTATGCACATGTTCCCTTCAAATCTATTGGTTGACTCTCCCAGCCTCACTTTAAGCTTTCTTAATCAAAGCTGGTGACTGCTTATGGAGTGGCCCGATAGGGGCGAACAGGCTATTTCTGTGGCAATGAAACGGTTTTGAAGGTTAGGCATAGTCTATTGTTCATTGGTGATTATGAACGTCTTTTTACATTTAATTTATGAGGATTACGTCTATGGGTGAATTTGACTGCGACAATGTTTCAAAATTAGGAAGGGAAGCAGTGATTATTTGATTATATAGACGCTTCGCCTCGGATCTGAGGGCAGATGTCCTTGTGTAAGAGTAAGACCTTTAAACAAGCAGAACCAGGTGTATTCGCATATGTGCACACACACACATACTCGTACATACACAAAGCATACACATGCGCGCCCGCTCGAGGGTGCCTGCACTATCATCAAGACAAAAGATCTCGAGGTGAATGACAATAATGCCAGTACTTTCTATCTCTCCCCCTCTCTCTCTCTCCACCAACCCCACATTCATTCTCTCTCTCTCTGTCTCTCTCTCCAACCTTCCCTCGTCTCTCTCTGGCATCTTTGGAGCAACGGTTAGGCACTTCACTGTAGCACGCAGGAGATCCTAGTTCAATTCCAGAGTGGGAAGAATTTTTTATCGAGTATCTCGGTCTTTCTGCTAGAAATTGAATGTTGCATCCCTTTCAGCCCAGGCTACCCTGTCAGCAGGGTCAGAACACCGCTTCTTATATGATCTGAATTGTGTCGATGGCGATGTAGAATACCTAAAATGTAGAAAACCTACATTTGTTGCTTAAATGTATGATGATGAAGACGATGAAGTTGAAGAACAATTTTCTAAAGACTACAAAGATGAAGCAGACACAAAACATATTAGTATAGACTTTATTCACACAGCCTGAGTGCCCACGTCAACAAACTCCCACAGACGACACAAACCATTTCTCATGTCATGATCATCTTTTCACCAAGACATTTTATTTCTCTTCCTATTGTAAGCACAAAAATGGACACGATACAAACAAAATAGCTCACATACCCACCTAGACATTCACTTATATTTACATCATGTAACTTACTGTGTCGGTAAAAGAATTCATAACTGAGGGCAATGCATTGGGGAAAATGCTAAAGATACACATTGAATTTGAATATCATTATAATGAATATTAACACTTTGAGTCTCTTTCTCTCTCTTCACCATTCCTACCATCTCTCTGTCTCTCTCTCTCTCTTTCTCTCCATCCTTCCTCTCTTCTCTCTCTTTCTCTCTCTCAACGCAGCAGTACAAACGACCAATCCCAAATAATCATGAGTAGAGTCACCATAGAAAATGTCCATCAAATGTGAAATTTCGAAAGACATCACTCCAACACCCTTTCACTACTTTACAATAGACCAAACAAACTGACCTTCAACACAAGGAAATTAATGACTTGCTTTCACAAGCTCCTGGAACACGAAACAACACGACATTTGCTGTCTAGAATTTAAAAATCTCCAAGGCTGTGACAGAAGTTCAAAAGGACTAAAATGGTGGAAAATTCCTTCTCATATTTAGCTTTTACGTACAAATATTTCACTGAAAGTTCTGAGCACATACAAAAGTGTCCATAGTACTAACTATAAGAAACAAATCACAGCTTTATACTTGAGAGTTGAAATCAATTTCAGACAGCTTGTTATTCAAGCTCATTGTCAATGAAGTGTTTAAAAAAATTCAATTTCTTCACTCAACACCATCCTTTATTGTATTACTTCTATATCTATTGACAACCCTTCTACTTCTATTATCCTATTAAAAAAAGATTCAGGTAATAAAAGCAGAATTTTTCAATACAAATATTGCAGTCACACATATTGCACGTGAGCAAAGAGAACTGTCATCAGCAATCTTGGAATTAATTCATGAAATAAATATGCATGACAAGAATTAATGAGCATGTGTACCCATTAATGCTAATTTAAAATTCCAAACAATGAACAAAAGATCACGACTCACTTTTTTTAACAACCTTTAACCAAATTAATCAAATTCATTAATTATTTAACACATAATGATATTACTACAGACAGATTCAAGAAAACAAATATATCCCTCAAATGACATTTTGATAAATATTGTAGTAAAATCATGAGTCAACAAATATATATATATATATCAATGAACAACTGAGCTGAACACATTAACAACAGAACAGAATCAAAACTTGGGGTGAAAAGACTTGCAGACACTGAATCTTGAGTTTTGACATTGTTAACATTTCCACTGAGGTCACTTGGTACATGCAACCACTTCAAAGGGTAGGCCTACCAACTCCACCACATGCTACCATCAAATGCTTATGAGTCAGAAACAACTACAAGTGCCTACTACAATGATGTGCACCTATCACGAGGAAGCTATTTCAGAGCTACTGGAACTGTTCCATTAACATTTGTCTCCCAAATTTCTTTCCCTGCTTGGACGCAATTTAATTTTGGTCAGTCAAAAAGGAGAATAGGGTCACTAAAATATTACTTTTTTCCATATTATGTTAAAACAACATTTTAATAGTTTTTTTTTAACCCCATCATAAAGGGAAATAAATGTAAAATCAGATTAAGGAACCAGCTGGGCCAAAATATCAATTATAAATTGTAATTAATGGCGATAATACAAACGACAGAATAAAGAGCACAAAAAATGTCAAAATTGCGAATCACCAACAGAGTAAAAATATAAATTACTAAGGGAATTTTTCATGTGTAATTTAATTGATCTACATTTTTATTTTTGAACGTTCATGTCAATTTTCAGCATTACAAAAATTATTATCAGCAAAGTTACAGCCGTTTTTGTGCAATCTGCTAAGCGTGGAAATCATTATAACCACAAACCGAAACAGTGCCTGATTGAAAAATGACTCTTTTCGGTCAAACTACCAACAAATCCCTGACAAACAGATGAAAGAATTAAATTTAAATAACAGCCACATTTTTATTTTTAAGTAAACGTGGAAGAGGTTGCTACTTCCTTATCAAGCAGCAGCACAGACTTATTAAAGTCACATAAAAACTGTCCAGACAGTGGAATTAAGTTACAAAGAGAAGGCAATCTTAACTCTTTAAACCCCATCAGCGTCCGGTGGTAATAACCCTGTTCGCCATCGGACGCTGGGAGCGTCCAATACCAGTGACAACTGTTTCGTTTCATTTAATGCTAGTTTTTGCTTGTTTTACAGAACTATTCCCAAACCAAGTTTATTACTAATGACTAAGCCTTTGTTTCTGTCATTTAGAAGTTAGAGCCAAGCTTTAAGAGTTATAATGACACATAGTGCGCCAGGTTTAGGTGACCATAGAAAAAAACTCCGGGGAAACGGTGGAAATAACTCAGGGTCTGAAAAGTTGAGGACAAGAAGTCAGTGGGTACAAATAGTGCTAGACTGTACACTCAGTTTCAAGATCCTTAATTAACAACATTAAACCCATAAAACAAGTAATCTGACATGACTTATAAATAAAAAATATACATCAGTAATCTTGTACACAAAGCATGCAAAGAATTCTGTACAGTTCCAGAAAACAGTACATTCAAGTTAGAAAAGAAAATAATGTCTTTGCCTGAAAGATATCACTTTAGACACAACAAACAAATTCGACTGCAAGATAATAGTAAAAGTCCAACAACTGAAAGTCACAAACTGACATTGCACTCTAAGTCCATACCCTGTTTCTACATTAAGATATTGTAAACAGAAGAAAAAAACCATAAGAAAGAAAAACTGTTTACTGAGATCTAAAAAAGTTCTGAAACCTGGCTTTTGTTACACAAAATAAGTATTTGAGTATAAACTACATGTCAGTATACAGTGGCAAAAGACAAAGTCTAAAATGAATGTTAAAGTTACAAGGACAAGGCCACATCTTTTTGTATGAAACTTTTCATTCTTTTTTGTAGACCGATGCCTCTGTCTGTAACAGAAGGCCAGTCCAACAGGGCACTTACAAGAGTACAGCAACAGAACAAAACATTGTCAGAAGGGGACAAATGCTACTACTATGACCTTGAACTGACATGCAGTGACAAGCTAATAAAACAAAGACCTCCACTCAGGTCAAACCCAGAAACAATCAAGCGTCTAACATGTGAACTCAAAGCATCAGCTTCAGCACATGCTTTAATTAACCAAAACAGAATGTAGTCAGCAAAGACAACAGTCAACACAATGGGACAAAAGCAGTTTGATTGTTTGTTCTGTTGAATGTGTTTTCAATTGGGTAAGGCAATGGTGTTCATTGATGAGCATTCAGACACAAGTAAAAGGAAGCAAATATTCAGAATCTTCAGGAGAAGTAACGACTCATCTGCACTTACAATCTATACACAGAGAAAACAATAATCTAACGGTCACATCACACAGACTCCTATCAAACCACACTCCATCTTGACAAACTAAATCCAGCAGGTCAGATGGTCCAAAAAATAGATACACAGACTTCCTTTCAGAAATATAACTGTTTATGAAAGGATATATTTAGTGCACCTCACAGTTCTTTTGTTTTAGTTAGCGTTTTACAGCACTTGCAACACAATTAGGTCATATAAGTGCTGAAGGTTAGAAGTGTTTCACGCTCGTTACATAAAAAAGGAGGAGAAATAGGAACGATGAATATTTGATAGAAAAGAAGGAGCAAGCCACATCAGAGCACCCTCCAACTACCCACCCTCACAGTTCTGTAACTCTACTCCTGTTGTAAGAGTCTCTATGGTATGTGACAAGTTTCACTTTTCTTGCAATACTGTGACATTACTGAAGGGGCAGGACCTCCGAATGACATTAAAGCCCATCTCCAGTAGGACCTGATCATGTAGGAGGAAAGCCTAAAAAAAACTCTTTAAAAACCCCAAAGTCCTAGAACGCTCCGCTGGGAACAAGAATTATGATCATCTACACCATAATAGCAATGACATGACAGATTTTTATTGATTGATAATCAAACTTAACATCTTCACAGACGACTGGCTAAAGACTAACAGTACATTTCAGTATAATATTTTTTTTTAAACATGTAATATTATTAAACTCACCTATCATAATGAAGGTGAACAGCAGGAACTAATACCACATAATCAGGTAATGATTCTACACCCCACGAATAGACCAGCATGGGTCTAGCAATATCAATAAAAAGGAGTTCTGAACAAACAGAAGATGGCAAGGATTGGCAAGGGTAACCCTGCATCTAGACATCAATCCCTTCAAAATTTAAAACAAAATGCCTCTTCTATAGATGGCACCAGACACAAAATTATAAAACCTGGAAAAACTTATTTTAAAGGGACAGGGCAAATAAGTTCTGATCCAATGTCTACAGACAACATAACAGCATTTCCTCTCATTCTTAGAGCTGGCCAGTTTGTGCACACACCATCTACACACAGCATACTGGAGACCTTGAACCCTCATGTGACAGAGTGAGTTTTCAAACAGCAAGGAATAAGATCTCTGCTGACTGGAGAGGTTTCAACATAAAAGTAAATTAGAGAACTTACAAATAAATACGTAGTTGATGTTTTGTCTAGTCACCGGTCAAAACAAGGCTCAAATCGAAACAGAAGTCAGAGTAAATTATCCACAAAGTTGAAAGTTTAACTTCCACATATTCAAATTCCATATATGATTACAAGCATGCATTACGAAATAACGTTTTTTTTTCTCTTGCAGATGTTCATACTATATTAAAATTCCAACACAAAAAGACGATACAATCTTTTTAGGATAGTAAAAAAGAACAAGTGTTGGCAATGGGTGCCTCAGTTAGACAGAGTACTCAAAAAGTGCCTACTTTAACAAAAACCTGTGCAGGCACGCACGCACACACGCATACAAGCACGCACGTACACACACACACAACAGTCCCACGAAATGTCAAACAGTCCTACAGACCATGCCCTACTGGCCCCTCATGAGGTCAATCCACAGATGTCTCCCACGTAACAACCCCTCTATAGGAACACACACAAACAGAGCTCTCTCTAGGAACACACAAACACAAACAATTGTACCTGATGAAACACACACAAACAAGTAGCACACAAACAGTTCTGCCTGTAGGAACATACACAAACAAGTCAAGCAAACAGTTCTTCCTGATGGAGCACACACAAACAGTACTCCCTTTAAGAACACACACAAACAGTTTTCTCCTTTAGGAACACACACACAAACTGTTCTCCCTTTAGGAACACACACAAACAGTTTTTTTCCTTTTCAGAAACATACGCAAAGTTTTTTTCCTTTTTAGGAGCACACACAAACATTTCTCCCTTTAGGAGCACAAACAGCTTTCCCCTTCAGGAACACACACAAACAGTTCTCCCTGTGTACACAGCAATGCCGTTCTCATCCTGACAGGTAGCACAACAGCTGTCCACTTGAGTAGAAAGGCTCAAGTTGTTAGGAGATGGCAGCCAGCTCGGTAAGAGCGTCGTGATGGTGAGTGCTCAGGTTGCTCACAGACTTACGCACGTCACAGATGATGGAACGCACCTGTGGGCAGAGATGGGGTGGGGGTGTGCGTGAGAAAAGCAAAGCATATCAAAATTACAAGGCTGCCCGGATCCAGTGCCAAGGAGGTGAACTTGTAACAAACAAAATGTGTGCTCTGCTCCCTACTTTGTTGCAAAAAAGAATTTGTATCCCCAGGAATGATTCTATGACTTACTTTCCTCAGTTCAATCTATTGCAAATTCAAGACTTTGCAGCCAATAGAGAAGTATCATATGACTGATAACAAAGCCGGATATGTTTTACAGGTAACAACTGAGTATGTTCACTGGGGAACTGAAATGCTAAATTGGAATTAATTAACCAGCCAGAGTAATTGTGAAGACTTCCATTAATGGGGATGTGAAACTATATAATCACTTGCAACCCCTTATTCACAGTACAGAAGGAGCATTTTAATACATTTCACTCATGGGCTAGCCTTGTGGAAAGTCCTGAAAGAAGAGCTTTTCCTTACAACACTACCACATTTTAGTATGTGGAAGAAAGTGAAGGGAAATATTTCAAAGACAATGCAGATGCTGAGAAAAGTTTAAATTTTCATTTTCATCATAATACAAATGTATTATTTTTCTGAACTTTCCATAAAAGCCAAAAAATGCACTTCCTATGCATGATGAAGCTCCTGGATGACCAGCCTTATTATTTTCCACCAGACAGAACATTCATACGCACACAAGCCTTATTATTCATGCATGTGAGTGAACATGTTCAAGAGGGTGTTTGAATGTGTTTTCATGTATGTGTGTGTGTGTGTATGTGTGTCTGTGTGTGTGTGAGGGTGTGTGTTTGTGTGTGTGAGGTTCCTGTAACCTCATTTTTTCTCAGTAATAAACCATGTCTGATTAACTCTATGCGTACATCGTGTTTTACTATCGTATCCATAAGATGTGGGGAACTCTGTGCCACCACTTTCCAAAGAGGAAATTTACTCGTTGATCCGATCAGTACGTTTTGAATAGTAGTCTGTCTAAATAATTTTTTGAGAAATACAGAAAGTTTCAAGAGATCTTCGAACTAGAAGTATTCTAAAATGTGAAGAATACAACCCCCGGGGTACAAAATGACCCCAGGGCGTACAGACAGGGTTAACATGCCTACTATTTGTTTGAAGTAGCTCACTTCTCTACTCCAAATGAACTGAGTTTAATTCCTGACGAGCACTACACAAAACTTTAAAACAAATCCAAACAGAAGTAGACCATAAAAAGTCATGAGACAATGGCGTAAGAAAACAAAACAAACAAAAAAAAAAGGTTAAATTTTTTAAGATTCTAAAGAGCAAACAAGTTGCTGACGTCGGAGGAGACCAATCCATACCTAAAAATTGTTTGAGTAAAGAGAGGAGCACATCCCCACATAATGGACACTTAGCCCACGGGAAAAAGTAAAACAAGATAGACAGGAACAACAAAGGGGAAAAAAGAGCAGCAGGGCCTACCAGTGGTACCCTCCAACCACCTACATACCTGGCTAGTGAAGAAAGGAGTCTCTCTTGGTTTTTCACTGTATCTCTCATACTGGTCCAGACTATCTTGTAGTTTCAATGTCAGGGTGTCATAGTTACCACGCACCACCTCCAGCACCTGAAAAAAAGTAATACGTGTAAAGAAAATTAGGCTATCAATATCAAATTCTGTGACTGTCCATGGTGTTGGTGATGACTGTGATTGTGATTTAAGCCAGACAGGAACATTTATGGGCAATAAGGTCTGCTTTGGATCTGTTATATCTTCCACACTTTAGACATTGCAAGCCCGATTCTGATGGTCTGCAATGTCTGGTGTTGTGCGAGTTTAGATACATTTCTTGCCTCCTCTTTTTCTTCCACAACAGCCCTGGACTGCTGGACTGTGGCATGCCATCTTGGTCGATCTAGGGCATCTTTTTCCCAGGTGGTGTCATCTATTTTACAGTTCTTCATGTGGTGTTTGAGGTTGTCCTTATAGCACAGTTTCTGTCTGCTTCTTCTTTACTTTTCTTTTCATATTGAATTTTAATGAGAGTATAATGTAATTTCTGCGTATACCTGCATGTGTTTTTAAGGTCCTGTACAGCCAAGAAAATTTCCCCTCTGGGACAATAAAGTATTATCTTATCTCATCTTATCTTCTGCCTTCTTCACAAACTTCTCCATAGAGAACAACCTTTAAAAGACACGAATCTGGCATCCTTGTAACATGGTCTGCCCATTCTACCTATCCAGCTGTTACATTATGGCTTCAATGCTTTCACTTTCCGTGTTGGCTTGTTTCAGTACTTCCAGGTCTGCTATCCTTTCCTCCCACCTCATTCTCAGCAGCTGCCTTAGATGACGGAGCTGGATTCCTGTGACCTTTTCTAGGTGCCTAATATCAGATTCACATCCTTTTCAAGTCAAGTCAATAATATAATATGTAAGAAGCGGGACCTTCCAAGTCACATCCACTAATGGTAGGACAAAGCTTAGGCAGACAGTCATGACTGTGCCTTAATTAATCATAATCCGATCGGGGATTTGAATCAGGGTTGCCTGCCTCACCAAAAGAGCTAACAGTATGCCTGGCAAACAGTGTGTGATGTATAAGAAGATGAGAGAGAGAGAGAGAGAGAGAGAGAGAGATTTCCTGTATGGACTTCGCTGTTGACATCCACCAGAGGAGTTTCAGTTTCAGTTCTCTGTTTCTTCTATTGTGTGAAACAGTTACTCAGGGATGATAAACAAAAATCAGAACTTTGAAACCAAAACACAGCACAAACACACTGCATCATGGGGTCGATCTCTTAACATTCCACATGCTGCCTCCCATGCACAAACTCTCTCTCTCTCTCTCTCTCTCTGTGTGTGTCTCTCTGTGTGTGTCTCTCTGTGTGTGTCTCTCTCTGTCTGTCTGTCTGTCTGTCTGTCTCTCTGTCTCTCTCTCTCTCTCTCTCTC